CCCTGCCTCCCGCCAAGTCCCAGGTAGCCTGTATTCTTCTTTCTGTGTCTGTGTATTGGTCCATTCTGCGCACCTCATGTAAGTGGCACCACGCATATCTGGCCTTTCGCGTCTGGCTTATTTCACTGAGCATAATGTTTCAAGGTCTATCCGTGTGGTAGCCCGTGTCAGAATTTCCTTCCCTCTTAAGGCTGAATAATATTCCATTGTATGGTGGACCACATCCTGTTTAACCATCCATCTACCGATGGGCACCTGGCGTTTGCACCCAGTGGGCCTCTGCTTTCTTGGAAGGAGCTCTCCTGCCCTGGCCACCGCTTACATTGTGACTCTATCTGACTTCGGTGATTTTCATTGTCGTCGTGTCGGCAAATAGCTGAGCGCTGGGGCACGCAATAAGGTAGACAACCTCTGAGAATGTTCCAGACAATGGGGAGACAGTGAGAGTGGTAGTGGGGTACCCAGGGTGCTCTTGAGCCCTGAGGGGACAAACGTGGTCTAACTGGAGACCACAGCTGGGTCTTCAAGGATGAGCCGCTGAGATGCCTGCCCACCTTTATTAACTTGGCAGAGGAATCTGAAACCACGTAAGGTAACTGGCTCTAAAGCCAGGCTGCCTGGGCTCCAATGGGGCTTCTCCACCCACTAGCTGTGTGTTCTGGGGCCAGTGCCTTGACCTCTCTGTGCCTGAATATCCTCACCTGTCAGATGGTGGCGATGAGTGGACCCGTGGCCTAGGGTTGTCGTGTGGATTCACCAAGTCTGTACCTACGAGGTGCTTCGAGTGATGTCACATGTGGCAAGCGCTGATAGGCAACAGCTGTTATTTTGGGGGAAGGGGTGAGAATGGCGCCCGAAGAGGCTGGGACAGAGGCAGGCGCCAGGTTGTGCGGGGCCCTCACGGCCACTGGGGGAGCTTGGATGGTATCTGGAGGCACAGGGAACAGGGAAGGGCTTGAGGAGACGTGCACGCACCTTCGTGATGGCCGTGACCCCGGAAAGATCCTGCCTACGTGGGCCCTCCCTCCAGCTCCCCAGGAAGCCGCTCATCGTCTTTCTGCTCAATAGCCTGGAGCTTCTCTCCCTGAAAGCATCTCCTTCGTTAACTGGATGTGCCAGTAGCTCCTTAGGACGGTGACAGCTGTCCACTGCATGCCTTGGGATGGCCCTCTTCCTTCTCAGGCCTCCCTTTCCCCATCCGATGGTGCTGGGCTGGTCATTTCTAAGGGAACCCTCGAGCAGCCATGCACTAGAATCTATGACTGTTGGTGGGTGGAGTTTATTTACACACGCCCACCAGACAAGGAGGGAAGGGTGACATTTAGGGAGAAGGGCTCCCTCCCATTTCTCTTGGGTCCGTAGACCCAAATGCTTATTCGCTTGTAGAATTTGTTTCCCATTCTCGTAAACCCATTTAATAATCTTCAGAGCCAGTGTTCCACAAAACACCCTGGAAACACTGGTGGAAATGATTTGTTGGAGCCAAAAGCTGCCCAACGGCCAATGTAGGTGGTCAGTAAAAGAAATCTATTATTTGCAAATGCAGAGTTTTGTTTGGCCTGGCTTCTTGGCCCCAAAGTGGAGCTAGTGCTGTGCTTCAGGGGAGGAGTTTACTATTGAGCAAACCGCTCATCAGCTGCTGCAATGAGCCGTGTGGGATCCAGGCTGACTGTTGACTGAACCGTGGAGGGTGGATCCTATGTTTCCATTCTCTCCGGTGACTCATCAGCCAGGACATCTTAGGACAGACGGTGTGAGCCACCTGTGTTCTCAGACAACCAGGAAGGGATGTCTGGGCCAGCCAGTGGTCTGCAGTGGACATCTTGGAATTAGCCTTTGGTGGAACAAAGCATAAAGTACAATGTGTAACAATACTACTTTTATTTTGAAAGAATAAAATATACATATGCATTCAGATGTGGAGAAATAGATATCGGTGATGGGATGATAGGCAGTTTTCCCCCTTATTTTTTTATTGCCGCCCAGTTTTCTTTCTTTTTTAAAATATATTATTTTTTTAAAATATATATTTTTATATATAATATAATATATTTTAAAAATATATATAATATATATATATTATATATATTTTTAAAATATATGTTTTTGTTGATTTCAGAGAGAGTAAGGGAGAGGGAGAGAGAGAAACAGCAGTGATGAGAGAATTATTGATTGGCTGCCTCCTGCACGTCCCCTACCGGGGATCAAGCCTGCAACCAGGGCAAGTGCCCTTGATTGGAATCGAACCTGGGACCCTTCAATCTGCAGGCTGATGCTCTATCCACTGAGCCAAACCGGCTAGGCTGTCGCCCAGTTTTCTATTGTCACTATGGGTTTCCTTTTCAAAAAGAAAAATACATATATGACAAGTAAAATACATATGTGTACATCTATACATCCGCTCCACAAACACACATGTATGCTGTACTGAGATGATATCATACAAAAACCAAGATAAAGAGGCTTGGGTGAGTTTTTGTCTTAAGTCTTTGGTTTCTAATAGTTCCTTCAGAGTCTGTCATCCTTGGATTTTTCCAGATGGGCAGCAGATCTGGGAGATGGAGGCCACCGTGGATAAAGACAAGAGCCAGCCTGTAAGCACTGGGCGAGAGGACCGAACGCCCTGACCGTGTCCTGCCCACCTCCCTCGGGTCCTCTTTCCTCCCTTTTCCTTTCCTGCACCAAAGTCCCAGGGCTTTGGACCTAACAGCCACGCAGTAGGTATTGAATTGACGAGTTAACTAAACGTTCCATGAGCACCAGTCCGCTGATTTGTAACGGTGACATCTTTACTATTCTTCGATAGAGTAAGTGGGCAGTTCTTTCTTTGCCGAGGCTGACAAAGTCAAAATTCCCCTTTAGATAGCATTTCACCTTGTAAACGTATGCACGTGCCATGACTCAGGGAGATGGGCTGGCTCTACGCGCTTGGGGCCCTGGAATGGGAATTAAGATGTTGCCGCCGTGAAGTTAATGACAACCCCTTCCTTTCAAGACATGCTTTTTGTTGAGATCCCCGAGTACCGGAACAAGCACGTCCGCACGTCGGTGAAGGTGAACTTCTACGTCATCAACGGGAAGAGAAAACGAAGTCAGCCTCAGCACTTTACCTACCACCCAGGTGGGCGCCTCCCGAAGGCCCCTGTGGGGAGGCAGCGTGAGCGTGTGGGTGAGGACCCTGGTGTGTGCTGCCGGCTGGGGGACCTCGGGCTGGTGGTGCAACCAGCCCGGTTTCCTCACCCAGCAAACGGCGCCTTCCTTAGAGGGTTACAGGAGTCAGGTGCACAGGGAGTGCTCAGCACAGCAAACTGGCAGCAGCGATGTGAGCTGTTGGTGGTGTTAGTATTTCCCTTTGGGAGGGCGGGATGGGGAGAGGCGTGTGAGGGCTTGCTCAGCACAAGGTTGCAAAGCTGGTGACTCCTGTCCCTGCCTTAGATTTGATCATGATAGAGGTAGAGGTGACTGTGCCCTAAAACCCATGGAATCTCTCGTTGACCCCACTGTGGGTGGTAACCCTGAGGCCAGGTGGATAACCAGTCCAGGAGGTCTCATTCCCACAAAGTAGTCCCAGGAGGGGTGACAAGTGCCATTGTTCATTCATTCATTCATTCATTCGTCCAGAAAATATCTGAGGGCAGGTACTGTTCTGAGCTTGACACATAGCAGTGAACACACAGATAAAAAGCCCTGCCCTCGAGGAGCCGATGCCCTAACAGAGGGGACTTAGATGGAAGTGATATTGATATTATTGACACATCAGATTAGGAGGGGCCTGCAGAAACAGGCTCGAAGCTTCCCGAGGCTTGAGACAGGCCCACTAGGCACCTTCCCAGAATGGGAAACCTATCATCTAGACCAGCAGTCGCCAATCTTTCAGACCGCACAGACCACCAGTGTCCGCGGACCACCGGTTGGCGACCGCTGATCTAGACTGTCACCCAGGGTGTAATTTCTGTTCTGTAATAGTTTCCCAGGGAGACTCTGGGTTGCTGGAAGCATGAACCCGAGGGCCGGTGCTAAGAGCTTGGCTTTGGGGAGAGGGGGCTTTGGCGAGGTGTGTCTACGGGTTTGTGGGGCCCCAGCCCAGGACTGGCGTGACATGCCGTGAGTGGCAATGTCCTAATGGGACCTAGAACAGTGGAGACGGTCCCTGGGAGGGCTGTAGACTGCATCACCACAGTCCTGCTCACGTAGAGGTTTTCAGTTACGTTTTATGAGTTCTCACCTCTCATGTGTGGAGGTGAGGCCGCCCTGGGCCTGGTTGGCGCGCACCTGTCTGAGCGTGGTCCCAGTGAGAACTTGGTCCCCAGGGCGCCAGGATTGAGATGGTGGCCTTTGAATGGCATCTTGAGGAATGGTTTTTGTTGTTGGTGTCAGAGCTGCGTGTTTGCTTTAAGGGCTGAACCTCCTTGCCTCCTCCAACCCCCAACACGGGGGAGGAGGCCCCACTTTGATTACTGTCCTGTCACCAGTTCATTTACTCCAGTGCTAAGAAAGCCGATTCCTCAGCTCTGGGCTGGATGTCGGAGAAGGACACATTCTGGTGACGCTGCTAGGTGGGGAGAGAGGGACAGTAACCCCAACACCACTAACAGCAGCAGCAATAATAATAACGATAGCAACAACAGCAGGCATGGAGCACTTACTGCATGCCAGTCCCTGTGCTGAGTACCCTGCACACACAGCTCATTTAATCCTCTCAATAACCCCACCAGGTAAGTGCCTGTGGCTGCCAAGTAACAGATGGGGAAACTGAGGCCCAAGCCAGCAGGTCTCATTCCCCCAAAACACTGTAGAGCTAAGGAGGCCGACGGTCACCGTTTGGTCATTTCTTGTCCAGAAAATATCTGAGTGTCAGTTAAGTTCCAGGTTGTGTCTTAGGTGCTAGGGACCCAGCATTGAACAAAACAGACAACTCTCCTCTCCACCCGCCCCCCCCCAAAAAAAAATCTCCTTTTGAGGAGCTGACCGTCCAGTGGGGGTGTTCAGATAAGTAAGCACGTCTACAGAATATGTCAGTATTCTGATGAGTGATGAGTATTATGAAGGACAGCGAGAAGGGAAGGGGCGGGGACTGGTAGGCAGAGGGCGGAGGGGCAGCATTCTTTTAAACCAAACATTCTCCTTTGAGCTCTGCTCCTGGGGAAAAAGGCTGCAGACATCCCAGGCTGAGCCCCCTGCTATTCACAGACCACCTTTCCACCACTGGAAAGACCTGTGGTTCGAAATCATCGCCCTGGGTTAGGTTTCTGACCTAAGACAGTTGCACAGGGAGCCTCTTGCCTGAGGCTAACAAATGTCAGAGCCCAACTATTTCACACACCCATTCAGACTCCCAAGGCCATGTGCCCGACCTCTGTCCACTGATCCTCTGTGCACATCTGCGGCTTACTAAGAATGGTGCACCCCGTGTGCTTTTCTCACAGTCCCAGCCATCAAGACAGAGCCCACGGATGAATATGACCCCACCTTGATCTGCAGTCCCGCCCACGGGGGCCTGGGGAGCCAGCCTTACTACCCACAGCACCCCAGGGTGGCCGAGTCCCCCTCCTGCCTCGTGGCCACCATGGCTCCCTGCCAGCAATTCCGCTCGGGGCTCTCATCCCCAGATGCCCGCTACCAGCAGCAGAACCCAGCGGCTGTCCTGTACCAACGGAGCAAGAGCCTGAGCCCCAGCCTGCTGGGCTAC